AGATTAGTTCATAACTTATTTATTCATTTACTATAACCTAGCTTTACTGCTTTGAACTTGCTTTAGAATAATTAGACTTATTAGATATTTTTTAAGTAAAGTTATATATGCAAACCAACTTCATAGAATTACCTCATATATATTAAGAAAAATAGGTGCCAATCATACTTCTAGAGTACATGGAGGTAGGAATGATTCCCACCGTTAATATTTACGGCAATTGGCATGTAGACATAAAATAGGACATGCTTTATCAGTTGAACATTATGGTGTAATGAATGACAAACCAAATACTCTAGCACCTTAACAAGAAAATAGAGAGATCGAGGATATTATTAATTTATACAGAGAAATTTCTAATAATAAGAACTAACTACGCTTTTTCGCTTTCACTACTTCATAGTAAAATCTTTATTATCATTGACGAAGGTAGTCACTTCAAATCACATTATAATAGGCCTTGGAAGTGATACCACATGTAGGCTCAAAGAGCTATAATTTAAAGAATCGTCTAATAACCTGTTCTGTAATAGATTGATATATTAGATTCATGTAATTAATATATAATGGTAAATCAAATTTTTTGTGCGATGTCAGACAAGGTTCAACATATAAACAAATCTTAGTCTGGGTCACGATCCCATTAAGTCACATACACTGCTGATGTCATGCGTGTCTTGGATCAAATTGGCCTGATCAATTTCCTGAAATACTTTTGGGCTCACCATAGTTGCAATAAAATGGTGCAACCTTTAATATATGTAATTTGTCGCTAACAATAGATGATAATTTTGTGATCTCATATCGATTTAGCTGATAGTCAAATCTAGTTTTGCTAGTCTTATCTATTATTTTTTGCCAGAATCGTATTGACTAATTAATCATTGCTATTTTTATGACCCTTTAGGGGAGACAAAGTCTCAGATCTTTGATCCATCGCCCCTTTGGGCCTTGGTTAATAAATTGCTAATTTGTAAATCATCGCGATTGCTAGTAGATCAAGTGATCCACATTCATACTAATTAATTTGTAAATGTACAAATCATCAAACCCAAAATTAGTTTTTATAAAATCTGCAAGTTAAGTTTGTTAGTCTCTAAAACATTTAATGTATAAAATAAGCAAATGATTAATTTCAATACTTATCTGTCTGTAACTCTTAATAATGCATATTATCTCTTTCAATCGAGCAAAATTTTACCTTTGAATATGTCTACTAACCCAACACCTCAAAACATTTTGTATTTCAAAAACCTTGCTTTAAATATCCTTAAGAATAGCTCCCCGGAAGTTATTGCAGAAGGTGTTGAAGTTCTAGAATTAGATCCATGCTCAAAGTGTAAAGAAGAGCTTTTTTTGTACGAACTTAAAAAACTATTTACCATACTCATTTGTGGCCATATATTTCACTATAGCTGTCTTGAGGATTATATAAAAGATCTTCCGCAATGTCCTGAATGTGCAACGGAAATTGAATCTATTGATTATATATGTTATTCTGGTACTTCTGAATCTAGTTCACAGGATCAGGCACAGAATACCTCAGACCCAATGCAAATTTCACCACAAATGGCACAAATGACATCTAGTCAAAGTGGGGATACAGTAACCTCAGATACAACTCATAGTTTAAATCATCACTTATTGGATTTCTTCATTTTAGACTATACAAAACAGAGTCAAAAAAGACTTAACGAAGATACTACTAAAAATAAATCATCCAGTAAAAAATCAAAGCAGAATAAGGAAAAAGGCAATAAAAAAGATTCTAATACTATAAAAAAACTTATTACAGAATTAAAATCCAACATCGCTGAACAAAACACAGATAAAATAACTTCTTACCAAGTCATAGCTACCGAAGCTGACCCACAACCTATCGATTTTCTAAATTTATATACTAAAATTACCTTTGCTGAAAGTGAAAATCAAAAACAAAGTCAGAAAGTAATTATTCAATACTATAACTTCGGGATAGCCATAGCGAAACGCTTCAAGTTTCATTATGAAAAATCTTATAATGTAAATGATGCTAATAGTGAAGTAAATAAAGAAATTGAAAAACAACTTCCCGATGGTACTCCTGAAACTACTATCCAGAAAAGAAAAGAAAGAGCCCAAAAAATCTTTCATCTCTTTAGTAAGATAGGAATAGATAAAATAGTGCGGGTGAATTCTTTTTCTGCATTGATGATTTCTAAATTAACTGTAAATCAGATTAACTATATAATATCTCAAATTCCGGACAAAAACCCGACAGAATCATTCGTATAAATCACGTGGACGTGACCTTTGGAGGTCACACTCACATGACTACTGCGCCATATATTAAATTTGATGTAATAATTTTCATTCCATGTAAAAGTTTTGAAGTTTTTAGCGTTCTATATAAAAAATGAAATTTGTTACATGGTACAAAAATGTTTATGCAATCAGAATTAAAATTATAATACTGTAAGCGTGAGAGAGCAAGGAAATAATTTGATGCTGGGAACGCATTAAATGTTCTGATTGCTATATATCTGAAAAATTATTAATAAAGTTTCTTCCACTTCAGAGCAGATTTTTTTGGAAAATAACGCTGTTACAGTAAAAATTGTTAGCAAATCGACATATTTAACGTATAAGATTTATAAATTATTATACGTATCAGGCGCACGATTTGTCACATCCAAATTTTTATCATATGATTTTCATAAATTACACAAATCGGCGAATTTACATTTTTTAAATTTTCTTCTAAAACCTTAGCCGTAGTACATAATGTTTCTTAAAACAAACTTGTTCCTGAAGTTTTTAAGAATCAGAAAGTATAAAAAATATATAAAATAAGCTTTTTCGTGTAAAGTAATATAGCTTCGAAAGTATGCAATTCTTTTGCTTTCTTTCGCTTGATTCTTCTCCAGTTTGCAAGTACCTGGCGTAAAACATAGATCGTTAGGTGCGCCGAAGTGAGAGCTTTCACCAAAATGCATCTGTGAAGGGCCGGTGCATTATGAACGTAACGAAGAAAATTGGGAAAAACTGTTTTATTAATATGTAGATCATATTAATTCGACAGTTTTTATTTTATAATTTGTTTTTTTTTTTATTTGCTTTTTTAATAAGTTAAATAATCTTTATTATTAATTAATTTAAATTCATTTTAATATAAGTTTAGGACTGGGATTTTCGTTTTCTTGGTTTTATATACTGTAACCGTTATTTTGGAAGAGCTTTAAAAATAGGATAGGTAGGATGCCAATTTAACACTAACGGTATACGAGGGAATGCTAATATATTTTCGAGAAATGGAATGGGTCCTTATATAACCTTGGGAGATTCAATTAAATAATCTCAACAAGGTATCTTTAAATAATTTAACAGGTATATGAGAAATCTAATTTCGGGTAAAAGACGTTATACGATAAGGACGATGATATCAGCAAGTCCAGGAGTTGATGTGATGCGGCTATAGGTGATGCTGTTAAGGGTGATAATGGTTTTTTTTATAAACTGGTAGTTCACTATAACGAAAGTTTACCTTAGTCAATTATATAGTTGTTAGATGAAACCTTTTTCGCATAATGACGAAAGACGAAACCTAAACCCCCAAAAACGAAACCTCTGACGAAAGTCGAAACCCAAATTCTTCTGATGAAAGACGAAACCTTAAACTTAAAATGACAAAACCTTACCGTTACACTCAAAAAGACGATACTTTTGTGCTCCTGCTAAAAAGAAATCAAATTTTATTTTCGTGAATTAATTGTTACCCTTTACAGTTTCGTCAGTTTCGTCACCTTTCATCAGTTTTGTCACCTTTCGTCAGTTTCGTCATTTCGTCATTTAAAATTTTAATTGATGAAAGACGAAACTAGGTTTCGCGTTTCGTCAGCGCGAAACCTCGAGGTTTCGTCTAACAACTATAGTCAATTAGTTAATGTTTTTCAAAAGTTGTATTTATTTGAGCATTAAAAATAAAAATTTTATAATATAATAATACATTTTGATGATTTATAATTAAAACTTTTGATTTTATTTAAAAATTGAATTTATATCGCATATATACATTATTTTTTTAAATTTACATAATTAATAATATAAATTAATTAAATAAGACTATATTGTACATGCTACACAACGATTCCAAGTTTTTTTTTAAAAAAAACTTTTACTAAAACACACTTATGGTATTTTACACCTATGAATACATTATCTCAAAACTAGTTAATCAACCGGTACGAAATACTCTAAATAAAAATGTTCTACGCCTTAAAAAACCCTTAAATACTAACTCTAACGTGAAAAGTTTGCGTTAAAAATTTTATATTCAAAACTAGGAAAAATCTATAAAACATAATAAAAAGATATGATAAGTGCCAAATCGCCATAGATGCGTTTTATAATAAATGAAAAAAAGACTATATTATGATTTTAAATAAATCTTTTGCTAAGACAACATGATCTAAGCGCAGTACATACCTTCACGAGTTAGAGTTTCATTATAACACCTCTAGAAATTTACATTCTCAGGTGGGTACGTGAGCTTTTGCTTAAAAAGTTTCGAAGGTTCTGATGCATTATAAGCACTATAAAAAATAAAACGAAAGGCTGTTTTTGACAGCATGATTCTTCTCAGGTTTATTGTTTTTCTCAGTTAAAACTAAAAAGCAAGAAAGTATTTGTGTAGCTGAACTGTTGCACCTAGGCTTGTAAGTGCGATTTCCTTTTAGGAAACCCCTGAAAATGCCGTTTGAAAAGGGCCTACCGTTGCAATTTACTATGAAAAATGGGTCGATCATATGGATGTCGATCACTCAAATTTCATAGTAAAAAATTTACCCCCGTGATCTGCGTGACAAATCGTGCGCCTGGTATACAATATCGATAACGTATTTCTGTATAATTGAGTCAATATAACGCACGTGGTGGGTATGACGTTTGTGGCTTGTAGTATGTAGAACCATCGATCCCATATATTAACTCTACACAACTACGATATACCAATACTATTGGTCATGTCCAAAATACACGGATATTTCGATCGCGCTTCTAAAGAATGGAACATTCGGGACTTTCTGGAGGAATGTGAACTTGAACCGTTTGAACAGAAAATCGATTGTTACGTTAAGAGTCTTCAAGCAATTGCTAATAGTAAAAATGACGACAGAAGCAAAACGGCACAACAGCTTCTCGATAATTTCAGGAAGAAGGCAAGTATAAGGTTTTGGAGTTTTTACGTTAGAATGCAAAATTTTATACGATAAGGCGCTGTTGATCTTCTAGCTCGTTCTATTTTTGAGTACCGGCTTTGTTAGGGCGCAGGCGACCCGTTAGGTCGTTAGGATGACCTTCTAGGTTGTTCTGTTCTGTGTTCAAGTTTCTAGCTTACCTAACATTGACCCTGCTGGGGCGTAGGCGACCTTCTAGGTCGTTAGGGTGGCCTTCTAGGCTGTTCTATTCTGCGTCTAAAGGCTTCTAGCTGATCTGGCAGATATTATTCCTTTATATTAGGGCGATGGAAGCGATCGTCAAGTTGCGAAAAGTTGGAATAATGAAAGATCTCGCAATAGGATATATATCCAACAACCAATAATTACCGGTGAAAATATCAACGGGTTTATAAATATGAACAAGAATGGGACTTTTGTTTCTGGATCATCTATATCCAAAAGAGATCATGAAGAGGTATGCGTTTTGTTCAGCGGTGTTAGATTTTAATTCTGTAATAAGTTTTTTTATAGTATTAGAATCTTTCTTATTGCCTTTTTCCTTATTCCGCTTTGATTTTTTATTGGATGATTTATTTTTAGTAGTATCTTCGTTAAGTCTTTTTTGACTCTGTTTTATATAGTCTGAAATGAAGAAATCCGATAAGGGGAGATTTAAACTATGAGTTGTATCTGAGGTTACTGTATCCCCGCTTTGACTAGATGTTATTTGTGCCATTTGTGGCGAAATTTGCATTGGGTCTGAGGTATTCTGTGCCCGATCCTGTGAGCTAGGTTCAGAAGTACCAGAATAACGTGTATAATCAATAGATTCAATTTCTATTGCACATTCAGGGCATTGTGGAAGATCTTTTACATAATCCTCAAGACAACTACGGTGGTATATATGTCCACAGATGAGTATGGTAAATGGTTTTTTAAGTTCGTACAAAAAAAGCTCTTCTTTACACTTTGAGCATGGATCTAGTTCTGGAACTTCAACACCTTTTGCAATGACCTCTGGGGTGCCATTCTTAAGGATATTTAAAGCAAGGTTTTTGAGACATGAAACGTTTTGAGACGTTGGGTTAGTAGACATATCCAAAGGTAAAATTTTTTATAATTAAAAGAGTTGGTATACGGTATTAAGGATTATAAACAGATAAGTATTGAAATTAATCATTTGCTTATTTTTATACATTAAATGTTTAGAGACTAACAAACTTAATTTGCAGATTTTTAAAAAACTAATTTCGGGTTTGACGATCTGTTCATTCATGAATTAATTAGTATAGGGGAGGGATCGCTCAATCTTCGCTAGCAATCGTGAATGATTTACAAATTAGCAATTATTAACCGAATAAAAATAGGTTAGTAGATTTTTTGATATTTATTATACGATTTAAACACTAATAAAACCAATATACTTATCTGTTTATATATGTTAATATGTGTCAGAGACACTAGCTCTACTATAAAACTCAATAATTAACTTTACCTTTTACTTTACGTTTTAGAATGGGATGTTTTCTTATCGCTCCAGACTTATGCATATATATAGATGCGGTAGCATCCTTACTCTGTGAGACTTCTATTTCTGAACTAGATGTGGAAGAATTACCTGAGGCGACAATTAACTTTTTGATCCTCTACTTTAGCTTTGACTATTTTCGCTTTCATGATGATAATTTATATTATGTATTATATATCTTTGCCGAAAAAAAGTTAACAATAAATATTTATCCACTCTAAGCCCTTGCCATGAATGATGAGTAGCTATAATAGGTACTTTACTGATTTTGCAAGATAAAGTTATCATTGTGATTCTATATATGCAAAAATATATTTTTACTCATATTAATAAAAATTAATTCAAAATATACAATGGTCGAAGCTAATAACAATATTGAGCCAGTTCATCAAAATTTATTGCAAAGCCATGACCCAAAGGGTTTACAAGAGAATGATGATAAAATTGCATCGCTAATAGAATCAATGAAAAAAATATCTATATCAGTTAATGGTAGGGATACAGAAGCGGTTTATGATTCAGGTGGATAGTATTCAACTATTACATATGAAAAAGCAAAAGAGCTGGGCTTGGAAATAGATAAAATCTCACCTCGAATTAACGATATGATAGTGATAGATCTTGCCAGACAAGTACTATATAAAGAAATTCGAATATCTCTCCGTGAATTACTGAAGATAGTAAAACCCGAGGTTCGACAAGATATGATAAATTCGATAGCAAACCCAGATATTACTAAAAAATGCAAGATACCATGTGGAGGTAAAAGACGATGTAAAGTTAATAAGACTTTTTTAAATGATTCTTCGTCTTTATCCTCAATTGGGTCTAGTTCCGAAACTGATTCTGGTTCTAATAATGAAATGGCTACATATGTGATAAGAACAAAGAAGAGCGATTAGTAATTAATTTTCATCATAGAGATAGAATGGTCTTGCCTGCTCTGGAGTCTGTCCTTTTTTCCGATAATTGACCACAATGTAATTCTGTACTGGAGAAGTATGGTTGTCACTCGAATGCCTTAGACATTCTCCAGCAATTGTATAAGCGTGGGCCATATTTTTAGCCTTATGCGCTACCACACCATAAACGGCACCCATTTTTCGTAAGTATTTGGGAATTAGATTATAACCTTTTAAGAATCTATTGAACCATTTAACTCCTGGCTTACCTGGATCACCCATTCGTCCAGATAATATAGCACGTTGAATCCAAGTGAGTAGTTCTTTGGCTCGTTCTTGATTCTTTTCCATCGATCTAAATTTTCTAGGAATATCTGGTTGTCCCCTGTTCTTCGCATAGCCTATCACGCAAGCATCTGTAATACGTAAAGATGTAAGCTCAGCAGGGCGGATACAAAGCATTATCATAACATCTGCAAGAGCTTGTAAGTCGGGCAAAGTAGATGTATCATAACTGTCCAATCTTTCTTTGACCGATTCTAACGTAAAGTGGTCTGGATAATCAATTCTCTCAAACTCCTCAACAAATATTCGTCGATTCTTCTGAATTTCGTTAGCATCTTTTGTAATATCGGGGAATTTTGTGGCTTCGATTATCTGGAATGAAGCACCAAGATTTCTTAATTCTCTTCTGAGTCGTGATAACCGAGAAGAACCAGCATTAGCATTTAATGCCGATAAGGCTAAGGCATAAGCTTTAGCTCTTATATCCCTAATACTAAGCTTGTTCTGTAAAAATCGATGCGCCATCTCTCCAATAGTTTTTTCCTTTAATCCTTGCGGGATTGAAATAGGATCTTGATATCTATCGGAAGTTGCAAGATTTATAGTTTTAGTTTTACCACTTCTCTGGTTAGGTAACAATATACTCACCTGTTCACTGCTAAATTTAAAGCCATCCTGAAGACGTCGTCGACCTTGATTCTGCTTTCTATTATCAGTAAGGTTTTCAAGAAATTCTAAGGAATATTGGCTAAGTTCGGAGTCACTCATCTTTGGGGTGAGGACGTATTTTTCAACGATTTTTGTTGTAATGGCTGACATGGTCTAATGTTATAGTAGGTTGGGTAGATTATGAACAGTTCTTTAGGTTATATACACCATAAATATTCTTTTTTCAAATCGAAATTAATTATGCTTTTTCCTCCCATGCTCGGAAAAGAGAATATATGGCTATGTATGGGTATATATAACACAGAGTTTGCATAATATTTTTTAACTGAAAATTTTTATATTAACTAGTTTGTAAGAGCAAAAAATTCCCCTTTATCAAAGCTCTTACCTGCAAAATTTACCTTATTCACTCCTCTCACGAAGTGAGGATGCTTTGTATCTATTTTATATGCATATAAACTTACTATAGCATACCATTTGCCTGGAGTATGCTTACTGTTTTTTTCCATTCCTCGTTAGTATCCAGCCATGATGAGGTGATTCCATCTTCCTCGAGAGAATGACGGATTATTTCTTCGCTTATTAATCTTTCTCGCACCGTCATATCCATATATTTACTGGGATCTTCTTCGGCCTCCTTTGCATAACCACACATTCTCGCATCAGTCTGCATTCTATCACGGAATGCTATGG